TGGTTAATTTGGTTAAATAATCGATTCATTGGTTCAAATAGTTAATTATTATTTACCCGGTTAAATTAACAACACTGGATATCGATGTGGAAAAATAACAAATATATCGTAACATTATAAATTTTTAAATAAAAGATTTATATGATATACACAATACAAACATCAACAATACCGGAACAATTTCATGTATATAATTACAGGTTTAAAAGCCACGATAATAAATAGCAAGGTTTCACTTTCAAATCGATGACCAGACAAGGAAATTTATCATATTATCATAATAGTCTAGAATAATCATTTGACCACAAACGTCTAATTTGTATTGTTTTATTGCATGTATCAATAGTCAAAAGTCAAAGAGAAATCAGGGATGAGGGAATACTTCTTCAACAGGAGGATCTTTCACCCGGTATACAACATATAAAAAAATTATTTTTCAATACCAGATCATTTCGCTAGTATATGTTATGATTATAATCCAACACCATTTTTATTATAATAAAATGGTGACATGTACGTACTAGCGGAATGATCTAGTACGTATTGTAAATTTTTTTATATGTGTGAAGGTTCCAAATCAAAAACTCCTAACAATTTTTAATAAATTTTTTTCAGTTTTAGCGAGGTTTGAATGCTATAATTTATCATTTTATTCTTAATGGAATTTATTGCTGTAAACCATACTCTACGTACTTTATACTTCGTTCCTGATATTGTATTATAATTTCAGGAAATTAATATTCGTATTTCCAAATTTGATTCTATACCCCAGTATCAGGTATACCACACTGTGTGTGATGTCGTTGTCGTGCTCGAAGTTACCAATTTAGGCACATTAACTAAACTTAACCCCTGCAATTAATTCTTCCTTTCCCACGTTAGTAATTTTAGGCAGTTTCGACTTCAGGCGCTCAAAGTTGCAACTTTAAGCAGATGACAATCGCTAAGTCAAATTCAATAAACTTTTTTATTTGAATCCTAATTACATTTGACCTGATGGTTGTTACGTAGTTTACTTAGGGGTACGAATATCAATTCCTTTTTTTTATCGGAAAAATTTTTTTGGGCTAAAAATACAATGATCAGCAATCTTATCAAAACGCCGACTATCATTTTTTGGTTTCACTTCACGCGCTCCCGTTTTCACACACTCGCATTTTTTTTTCTCAATGTCAACTTTCTTTTTCAGGAACTCGTTGTTCAAGGCCTAGCATACTGGTTCTTTTCGATAGGAGAGAAAAATTTTAGCCCCTGAAAGCGTGAGAAAAATTTCTTATGACAAAATATATAAATATAAGTTATTCTTGGTTTCATGATTTATTAATTGTTATTATGTCTCGTACTGTAATACCAGAACAAGTTCGTTCAGCCCTAAAATTCATTGTAATTAACTTTAATCTAGTGAGGTGAGAAATCACAAGTAAATTTTATCGTCATGTATCTGAAGTTACGCTGCCACTAGGGTGCGACATCGAGAACTGGAAGCACATCGTGGCCACAGGCGTGAACGTCCTTCTCTATGTCAAACTTGAAAGCTTGATCTTGCTTCGCGCGGAAGTTGTGGTGAATAGGATGCCTTGCGATGTTGATTTACTTATAATTTTTTTATTGTTTTTTTTATATAGATTGTTCGGTTGTGATGAAAATGCCGGTTTTTATTTTCTTGAAAATTATAATAAGCATTTAATCTTGGTATACTGCAGTAACGGAGAGAAAATTTCAGCTGGAGAAGTTAGAAAATTCGGAAAAATAGTTGCCAAATATCCGCAAGAAACTTTAGGCATTTTTGTAACAACGTCAACTGAAAACGAATACTCTGAGAATGCTTCGAAACTTGTTAATTCTTCCAATTACAATATTTTAATTACAATATTTTAATTACGAATATTTTAGAGATAAATACTGATATCTCTGCATAATTTATTAAAAAATCTAAGAAAATTAATTCTCAAAGATTTATAGAAATAATTTTCGTTTTTTTAATCAGATTAATGGTTTTATTGTTTCGAAGAGTTATTCAACTGGGTAATTATTTATTAAATAATTATTTTTAAATGTTTGATTAATACGATTAATACTTAAAGCAAATTCTTTTAATTTAATCGCAAAATAGGACAGATATTTCGCCGAATTTCAATTTTGTGCAGCGAACCCCTAAGTTTAATAATAGTTTATTATTCCATTTATTTGTTTTAATTTATTGCACTTAAATTCTTTTCAATTAATTACACTCAATTAAATTTTCTCTTTTCAGTCTTTTGCACAATTGATTTTCTTTTTTCAGTTTATTACACAATTAAATTTTCTATTTTCAGTCTATTGGACAATTAAATTTTTATGAAATTTCTTGTTGACGCCCTATAAATTGTTTGTTTTTAAATAAAATGTAAGTACGAATTTAAGGAAATAAAATTTTAGCTTTCTAAACATCGACATAATAATTATAAATTATTTTCATTCGACGTATAAATTCAATCAGAATAAAAAAAAATGTTTTTTGTAATGTATAATAGACATATATTAAAAAATGTCGAATTTGTTAGATACAGAATTCTTTTAAGTCAAATAAAAATTGGACCTTTCCAAGCAAAACACTTAGATCGGAGTGTCCCAGAAATTCTTAATATATCCAATATAAAAGAATAAGTCTTATATGTAATTTGTCATGATTAACATTGTTACTTATAGGTCAGAAATCGATTAACATAATAAAACTTGGCGATATTTAGGATTTCTTCAATTTTTCACTGTTTTCGCCGCTGTTTTGTTATATGAGCTTCTGAAATTTTATTAGTTCTGAGTCGGCTGATTTACATCTATAGCTAACTTTCTTTTGATTGGTTAATTACTTACAATTGTATTTATACAGTTCAGTGTACTTTTTAAAAATATAACATTTCAAAAGTAAAAAATTAAGTCCGTCTCATTTTCAGTGAAGATCCAACAGTTACTATGCAAAAGAATCTATAAAGATCCACAATCTAGAAGTATTTTTCTTAGAAGGTAAAATTTCAATGTATATTATAACTATAGAACTATATGTATTTACTAAATGGTCGAATGTATTTGACTTAATGATAAAAAAAAAAACTAACACAACAAACTTCTTTTTTATATGTTTAATGGATTTTTTCACAAGCGTTAATTATAATACAGTAGACTATAGATTTTAGATCTCATATTACTTCGGTATAATAAATCGGCTTTAGGAAATATACATATTAAAAAAATACATTTGATCCTTTTCGTTCTTTTATTATAATAGAATTAATTCCACAAGTATAATTTTATTGGTTTAATATAACATGTTTTCGCATATGACCAGCCATAATGCAATATTTAATTTCATGTGATCTACCAATCACGAGAAAGTTAACTTATGTACAGGGATCCCCAAAATTCCGGGTCGAAAGTGGCTATTGTCAGAGGTAAAACCGCAATGCCACCAAACCTGAAAAAGTGATCGTCATAGTGGCCCATTTCCTAATCTGTAAAGCCCATGACGGTCCACTTGAAACATATGCCCCAGTTCCAAGAAAGCCATAGGATTTGTACACAAGCCTCAAGATGGGATCCCGTCACCCACCCAAATGAAAAAAAGCCAACCAAGATGTGGCTGAAATGGATGTTAACTCCATTTTACCTTGGGATAAGTGTGAGGTGATGACAAGGGTGTAATTGTGGTGATAATGTTGGGTTCTGAATAGCGTTACGGCTTAAACCTTTACCGAAGTCCGAAACGTTTTGGATTTTAAGTTGCGGTTTCGCCCAAAATCTGAAACTGGGCAAAACGTTCGAAACTGGGCGAACTAGACGAAACTGAGCAAAACTTGATCTTATTTCTATCAAAATAAACATATCACATGACACAGACTTCGATATGACAATTTTAAAAGTCATGTGCCCACTGCACTTATGGAATTTTTGGAAATTTATTGGTCAATTTTAAGTAACCTTCATAGCTCACCCATAAGTTTCTTTCAACATGTGACCAAGACCAATTAGATTAAAGGATTAGGTGTAATGTAAAAAATACATCTTTTTAAAAAATCACTATTAACTCAAAATTTTACTTATAAAACTGCCTTTTGCATTCTAATAAAAAAATTTCTTATAAAATTTTAGTGTAAGCTATGATCTTTCTTATTCTTAATCCCAACTTTAAAGATAATGTTTATTATTTTAAATCTTTTATTTAATTTGATTGTTATACCTAATCTTAGATCTAATTGGTCAAAAAATATACATTAAAAAAATCTTGTAGATGAGTTACAAATGTTATTTTAAATGTAGTAATTACATAATTTTCTAAATTGTTATATCAAAGTCTGTGTCATGTAATATGTTGATTTTAATAAAAATAAAATTAAGTTTTGCTCAGTTTTATCTAATTTTATCTAATTTTATTCAGTTTTAGATATTTTAAATATTTTGTTTAATTTTGAATATTTTATTCAGTTTTGGATTTGACACCTTGGGTAAAACTAGGTTTTAGAGGTTTTGAAGTTTAATCTAATTAAAAATTTTAGTTTAGATTGTAATACTAGTTCTAATTTTAAAACAATTAATACTAAATTAATTTTTATTAGTTCTATAATAACTGTAAAAATACTCAAATAATAAAAGATTATGTTTGTAATAAAGTTAAAGATTAGAACAAATAAAATTAAAATTCAATAAGAAATAAGAAAGAAAATTAATAGTCTTGTATATATTCTTTTATTATCAATTTGTTATAAATAAATTAAAAAAAAATTTTTTATAAGAAAAGTTTAATACAGTTTAGTAAAAGTATATTCTTATAAAATTTTAAATTTATTAATAAAAACCTTTTGAACTATAAAATATAATAACATTCTTAAAAGTATTTAATTTTATCTATAATATTTTCAAAAGTTACTTTAACTCATATTAAATTATAATTATTTTATTTCAATTTTTGAGCAATATTATATAATATCTGCAACTTTATAGTAATAATTATTATTTTTTTATTTATATTTTTACCATCTACTTATAACATAATTTAGTTAAACTAATAATAAAAAAATATATATTTTATAATAACAAGTATATAAATATATATTAATACAAGTGTGTATGAGGTGCCACCAGTGCCCTTTAGTATATGATATATTTTTTAAATAACTTATTTGTAATTATATTTTTAATACAAAAAAGTTTAAACTGGATTAATAAATTGTTTTAATTTTGAATAGATATTTTCAAGTCTGGTTTCTGTGCTTTTATTTGTATTTTCTATATATACTTAGATTACTTTTGTTATTTTTTATATTAGGCAGATTAGTAGTAAAATTAAAGTTTGGCATGGTTTAAAAATAATTAAATAATATTATATAATTTATTTATGATTAATAATATAGTAATTATGTTTTTTTAAATTAATTTTTAAACTATTATTAAAATTTAGTTTTTTACAAAATGGTATAAGAGATAGAATTATAAATTCTTTTATAATGATAATTAATAGATATTAAAATTGAAAATTGATTATTTATGTAATATTTTATTAAATATAATAGTTATAAAATAATCTTTAGGGTTAGCATTTAAAATTTATTAAGAATCCAGTTTGATTTTGTATATAAAACTAGTTTTTTGACTTAAAATTTTTTATAATATCAGTAAATTTGGATCAACTATCACTATATTATTTTTATACAAATTGTTATTAAACTTATTTGTTTATTGTTTTGTCTGTTAACAAATTAATAGACTTAAAAGTTTAATACTTACAAATCTGTAATTAGTTATATATTATGAGAACTAAAATAATTCTTAGTTAGATTATACAAAATTTAATATAGCTATATTTAAAAATTAAATTGAATCAAGAATGTAACTAATTTTGAGTAACCAGTTGTTATATAATATTTTATTAGTTGATTTATATTTTTAATTAGATAGAACAATGAATATACATATAATACTAAGTATTTTATTACAAAAAAAAAAAAATAGATAGAATATAATTAAGTTTAAATATATTGTTTTTTTTAAAGCTTACAATGGCTGTTAGGATCAGTATATTAAAATCTATATTTTAAATTCAAATTTGTAGTTTAACCAATTAAAATTAGGTAAATAGTAAGTCAGTTTCTTTATAATTCAAAATCTTGCATAACTTACAGTTGGCTTAGTTAGAAAGAAGTGTTTAGATTTGGTTAATAGTTTGGGTCTGTAGATAAGTATTTCTTCTGCTATGTTACTTCATTTGAACTTTCTACTAACTTTATTCTCAATTATCTTACTATTTTAGGTAATTGAATAACACATATAATCTCATTATCCTCAGTTCTTTAGGATAATAAAATAATATAACTATGACTAATTCTGGTACTTTAGAATACAACAGCTAGATAGGAAGGTAACAATACTATAGTTAAGAGCAAATAATTGCAAAAAATAAGTTTTTATAATCAGAAACTTGGTGATTAGTTAGTATTGCAAAGGGACATTTATGTATTTATTATGATGTAAGGGGCCAGTTATTATTTAATAAAGCCAAAAATAGTGCTCTTACTTTTTTTAAAGCCTTCATAGCCTTTATTTATAAAAGTAATTTACTATATACATTTTTATACTCTATACTAACATTGTCTAAAATTACATGTACTATTATGATTATGACTACATTAGTATTTCCTTTCTTATTTACTACTTTACTTATTTCACTCCTTTGATCAAAAAGGATTTTTCTATGTTTCAGTCTTTCTGACTTTTCTAATTAGGTTACTCTTATTTGGTTAGCTATGTTATATAGCATGTTACTTAGTCAGATAATACTATCTGTTGTTTATTATTTTTAAAATTTTTATATTATTTTTATTAAAAACTCATTATGTTGCTATTAATAGTTTGTCTTAAATTCTAATGTTTGAAAAATTCTAAATAGTATATTTATATTACAATTTACTTGTGATTTAGTAAGTAATAAAATTAACATTATTTGGATACATTTGCATGCAAATTTGCTTATAAAATATTATTATTTAAGAATAATAGGAATATACTTATTTTATTATTAAGGTAAGAACACATTTACTAAAATATACATAGTGACTTTATTTATAATAGATCTTTTATATATATATGTAAAAATAAAACAATAAGATAAAATGATAAATTGATAATATTAAATAAAAATATGCTTAAAATTATATATATATATATATTAATAATGAATTCATAAGTTGAATTCATAAATATGTAACAATTCATTATGGCATATTTGCAAAATGACCCAAATTTGAAAAATTTAACTACTAATTTGTAAATATATAGATATTACTAAGATGATCAACATTTTTCAAGTCATGATGTATTATTTTAATAAATTCCTATTTTTAATATGATGTGTTAAAGATGGGAAGATAGATTAGACTATGAGGAAATAGTTTAAACCTGTTATCGATACAGATCAAAGGTTCAAAAAAGCTTTTAAATTTAATATTAATTGATTAATATATAATTTAGTATCCAAAATTCAAATTTAGAAACCAAATGATGACTAATTGTTTACTTAATTTTGCTAATACATCATAATGTTGTTTAATCTTTATTAAGTTCTTGTTACTAACAATATTAATAATTTTAAAATTACAAGTTTTTTTAGTAGTATGTATATTTTATTTTTTGCTTCTGTTTCCTTTTTATAGCCATTATTCTTTTCAGTCAAATTGTCTATTCTATCATCATTCTGATCCATTTATAATATTTCATCTTCATTATATGCAATATCTGTTTTTATATGCTTTGAACTTTAAAAATCTGAATCTTTATTATTTAGACTTGATGTATTTATTGAAGCTAAAGCTTCAAGATTTTTGTTAGTTTCCTTAAAAATGATTTAGTAGGTAGTCATAAGTTTAGACAGTGTTAATTTTGATAAAGAAGTTGTATCTTGTAATTCAATAAAATTAAATACTTGATTTTTACTTGTTATTTGTACATTGATATATGAAATGTTTTTTGCATATATAAATAATTTGTTTTGAATAATTTCTAGTTAATTAATGATGAAGAGTACAGATTCTTTAGGCTGAATGGAGTTTTTAAAATGTTTAAATCTTGAATTCAAATACAGGTAAGTGATATTAATGATAAAGTTATATTATTAAGTAGTATAGTTATTAATTAAGGTTTTTATAATTGTATTTTTATCATTTTTAATTTTATTAAGTGTGGTTTGAGCTATGCCAACTAAAAAAATATTCAATAGACAGTTATTTGAATTAGGTAATTTATTAATATTAACATGTATTGATAAGGTGACTGTCATCTAGATTTGATTTAAATAATGTAATATTAATACATTAAATAATTAAAATATATATATTTTTATATATATTATAAATAAAATATAAATAAATAAAATAAATATAAATATATAATAAATATATTATAATAAATATAATAATATATATATTATTATTTGATATATATTATTGTATTATTTATATATATTTAATATTAATATTATATTATATATTTATATTTATATATAATACTTTTGGTCTTTTAGCAGCATAATAGTATTCTGGTACAATTTTTTTACTAATAACATAATATTCATTTTTTCAAAAACAGCATGAGTGTCAGGATTTTGAACATTAGGGTCAATTGGTACAAATATAATTATTTCAAATTTATCATTATCTTCTTTAACAGAGTATGTACCAATGGCCCATATAACAATTGAATTAATGCTTTCCTTTGTAGATTGTTGAATCAGGTTTATCTTCATGATAGTATTACAAAAACATAGTATGATCATTATTACAGTACAGTTAACTAATAGAAAAATATATCAGTTTAACTTATTATATTGTTTATTTAAAACATTTAGTATGAGATTTTTTGAATTTTTACTGTCCTTGTTTTTTTTTTATTTCTGAAAGACTGTTCTTGTTTTTTCTACTTCTGAAAGATTTTAAATTAAGCAAATTAGAATTCTAAAAATTTGATAACTCTAGATTCATTATATTCATTTAAGATTTAAAGGTTATTAATTTTTTAATCATTATTTTATGCAATATAAAAGAGCATAAATTGAATTACTTTACTGATTAGAAAAATTAAGATTTAATATTTGATTAATAAGGTGATGGCATAATACAGAATATATGTGAAATATTGAATTTTTTAGTTAAAATTTTATTTGAATACTATTTATCATAATCTTCTGATTACTATATCAAGATTACAGAAGAATTAATTAATAATACTATAATAATATGTGAATAAGCAAAACTTTGTTTTCGCTAATTCTTAATAAATCAAAATATTATTATTATAAATTTACCAGTTTGGTCAAGTTGTGAATTTTTGTAAATATAGTATTTTTACAGACATAATTTATTTTTTTTTTCTTATACATTATTTTAATTAAAATTGGTTTGCATAATTATAAATAATCATATGCTTTAGATAATACTGAAATAGAATACTATAATGATGAGTATAATTCAAAGGCATATGTATAGTTTTTTTATATATACTTATTTATATAATGCAGATAAGCCATTGTATGCTAGCAAAATTCTAAACAAAATTTAAAAGGCTTACAAATAAAGTGTTATAATATGCAAGTTTATAATAGAAATTCACAAAGGTTGATAGTTGTTATCTAGTTGTATTTAAAGCATAGACATTTATAATTAAATAACTAAATCATAGGTAGGATTATATATGTAATTTTAATATTTTCTTCTATTCCATTATAGTTTATATTAATTATTTATGTTCTAAGCAGTAATTAATTAGTCTTTTACAGATAAATAAGAGAATGTGATACAAATTTAAAGATATATAATAATTTGAAATGCATCTAATTGATGTAAAAAAAAATTTGAATATTATTATGTACAATTTTTTTGATTAAAAAAAAAAAAAAAATTATGCATCTGTTATTACAAATTTTAAAGATCATGACTTGCAATCTATCAATTGTGTAGGTATTATTTGAACTCATCACTTTTAGATTTTTCCTCTAATTCAAGTCATGTATTCTACCTTATTTCAGATTCAAAATATTCAGTGATATTGAATGATTTATCAATTTGCTGTATATTTCTAGTCTGTTTACTTGAACTACATAAGATGTGATATTAAGAAAAATGAATTAATTATTCTTCACAATTGCCATAGCTTTTTTCATACTTTAAGGATAAAATCAAGTATTAGTTTTGTTCCTAAAAGTGTTTTCAAAAATATAAGAAATCTTCTTCACTGTTTTGATCAATTAAAAATAATGTCAAATATTCAAATTTTTTACTTAAATTTTGCTAAAAAGTTTCTTATCTTGGATTATTTAAGTTTTTTTTTTACTTTATAGACAACTTATCTCTTTATGTTAGTTTTCTTGTGAAGATGTACTGATGATGTTTCTTTTGATTTTTCTTTTGTAAGAACTAACAATAATATAATAGAATATAAAAAACTTTGAATATTATTTTTTGAAAAATAAAACAGAAATATATATTGTATAGCATAATAGTAAAGTAAATATGTAAAAAAGTAATTATAATGCATATAAAATGATGTTTAAAAGTCAAATTGTATGTAATTTCTATTATATGTTAAATTTAATTTTTATACTTATAAAAGTAATAAGTATGCAAATTAAAAGTTTAAATAACTCATTAACTTCTAATAAGACTTACTATAAAAGAATCCAATTTTATAGATTATACAAATTTTGACATGTTTATTTTTAAAAAAAAAACAATAAAACAGAATTAATAAAACAGAATTACTTCATTTTTAGTTATTAATTTAAACTGCCAAAATATTAGGCCAACATTATAAATTGTATTAAGTAAATTCAAAGATTAGTGTATTGTAACAGAAATAAAATGATTTGAATATTTGTCTTTATAATTTTAGTTATAATTGTTCAATCAAATTCATTTTGAAAATATGAGTATACAAATAAATAATATGAAAAAAAAGAAGAATTTAGCTCTTTGAGCCATCTTCATCTAAAAGAGTTGAATTAAGTCAAAAAGTTATTTTTTAAGAAAGAATGTGTTGAGAAATAGCATAGTTAAAGAAACAGCATATTGTTTTTTCACTTAAAGTAATTAATTTTAAAAGTTTTTATTTATATATAAATATTGTTTAGTTAATATTAAAAGTAACTTTTGAATTTATAAGTTATTTTTTTAATAGTTTATGAAAGTTAAGTTTTGTTTTGGAAATATAATTAGACAGTAAGTGGAATTAGTGGCTTAATCTGTTACAGATTATAAACATGCTATAAGAGAATTTAATTTAAGATTTAGATTTTTGATATATAATAGTAAATTTAGTTATTGATTTTATGTACAGTTAAACCTCTCTATAATCACACTCTTGGTTTTAAGAATTTGGTGCTTATAGAGAGTTTGTACTTATATAGAGGTTAAATTTTATAAGTATCATATAAGTTGGTTTTAAAATTTATATAATTATAAGCAAATATAACTATAGAGGAAAGGACTATAGAGAGGTCTAACTGTATTTGCTTTATTTAGTTAATAAGTTCTTTATAAACAATATTTATTGTTTTCATTTTTGTATTATCTTTTAAAAATTAGATTAATATATGACTTTTTTTTCTCACATGAGAAAGTGCAGTGTATACTTGGCCATATGCAAACACATGAGTTTGAAAATCAATAACAATATGATTTAAAGTAAGGCCTTAATAACTATTAAAAGTTGTAGCATAAACTAATTATAAAGAAAATTGTTTGTGATATACTGTTCATGAACAGTAATCAGGTTGAAAATAAAAATTTATTTTTGAAAGAATGTAGGTTTCAGATGCACTATTTGTATTATCTTTTTTAAGTACTACAACTCTATCAACTATTGTTTTAATCTTATTATCACAACTTATATGTTTTTACTAATCTTTTATCAATAGAAATATTTTATATAATAGAGCAAATTGCATCAACTTTTAGTTTGAGTTCATGGTTAGAAATTTTAGAGTGTGTCAAATAAGCAAGATAATCAGGTATTAACAAAGAGATGGTTATTTAAGAAGTCATTATTTTCTTTAATTGTATTATTGCTGAATGTTTTTTATTTTTTTTTTTTAAACTTTGATAACAATGCCAGTTGGTTTATTAACTTTAATTTTGATATAGTACAAATTTTACAATTACATTTTTAGGATCAATTATTACTAGTACTATATACTATCTAATTTTACATCACTAACTTTATCTGGTTACCCATATGGCATCTAAGTGCATGTCTGCTGCATGTCTGTATGCAGTTATCCTAACAACCATGTGCAGTCAGAGAATACTATTAAATTGCTACAAAGACAAGAATACCTACCAAACTTAATATAGTATCCCAAATGCTAGGGGTACTGTCTTCTGTAAATTGTACCCATATGTTCTACTCATATGTTTTACCTGGTCTTGTTTCTTCTGCCTCTTAATTTAACTATATCTAGTATTACCTTGTTCTTCATATTTCTCACCTTTTTATTACTGTATCACTTCCAAATTGGTTCTACTCTGGTATGTTTAATCTTTATGATCTTCCTATCTTTGGTATGCCTGTTATTAATTCTCCTAAGGTGTTCCAACAATGGTCCAGAATCTGCAAAGAAACTGTATCTCAAGTTAGATCTGCTACTGCCATTGGTCATTTTGACCAATCTGTATCTTAAGCAAGGTCTGCTGCCACTATTTTTGCAGATGTTCCAGGTCTTAACATTATACAGTAACTCAATGCTGCATTTAGCTTCCAACATGATGCTTCCTTCTATAGTGAGGACTAAGACTTGTTATGCTTACAAACAGGATAATTCTGGTTATATCTAGAAAGTTCTTCTGACTCTAGTGATACTATACTACCATATATTGCAAGCTCCTAGCTTATTTGTTAATATCTGCAGGACAATCCTGGTTATGCACCAGAGAGTTACACCAACCCCAGTGATACTATACTACCTTGCAGATCTTATTTCATATTGGTTGGTTGATCCCAGTCTTGTTCGTCATAGACTTGCATATAGGTATGACCAGGAATCTGATTTGGTACTTTTATATTGTACAAGGAAGTTATATACCAAACTCTAAGATTTTTTCTTTCTATAATTAGCTTATTTGGCTGTGTCAAAGGTGCTTCCAATTTTTGGTTAGACCATTTTTTTATCACAGTCCATCCTTATGTTCATCACTTCTCTCACCATTCCAGTCATGGTTACTTTAAGAATACTCTCACAATCAAATCCTCTTCTTGTATTCTAATTAAGGCTTATTTGTACAATTCATTGATTATCCTTCCAAGCAAGTACCTCACAAGTTGAGTGCAAGGATGTTGCTACTGCCTATATTAGGAGGTATAAGGATGTTGGTGCTGCCCTAGCCTAAAGAACTTACATGTGCAATCTTTCCATAACTATAATCTTCTGTAACAACTGCTTGTTATGCATAGTGCCTGCACTCTATGATTGGGTTTCCTTCTAGGAATTCTTATTTCCATCATTGTACTGCACTTGGCTTAACCACAGAGCTTTACATTCAATTACAGGCTTCTTGTTAGGTTACAGAATCTACAATCTTTCAATTTTGCCTTCAGCCAGACTTGAACTGTTAACCTTGACTGTGAATGGTATAGGAGCTTAACTGCTAAGCTATGGGACCCATACCCCTATTGCTAAAATAAATATAAGTGTTTTTTGGTAATATGTTTAATATTTTATAATTGAAGTCATCTACTAAGATATTTCAAGAGCTGAGAAATGCTCTTTTTTGCAATGCAGTTAAATTTGAAAATAAGTTAATTGAATATAAAAAGAATATGGCTTCTTCAATATTATAAGTAGTCTCAAAAATATCTAAAGTTATTTCACATTCTTGCCAGTTTTCACTAATATTATCGATAAATTCAGTAAAATTAGATCAGATGTATTGTATATAGGTTGATTAAGAGTATGTAAATTAAAATACTTTTATAGATAGGAAGTTTTAATAGATGCATTGATTGTTGAACTTTTTTCAGCACTTTTAACAACAGGAGCTACTTATCAGAAATAACCTACTTTAATAAAAGGTTTTTCTCTAAATGGTATTTTTTTTTATAGATTTGGCAAAGAAAAAGGTTAATGCATTCTATTACTGCTTTATTTGTCATAGAAATTTTATTCTAAATAATTAATTTGAAGTTTGAATCAGATCTGCATGATTGCTGTAATATTTTATTGTTGATTGTATATTAATATTATTTTCTTCTACAGGTATATGAAATAATGAATGTGCAGTTCAGCCTTTTTCATACAATAATGTGACTAAAGCCATAGTTCTACAAGGTAAGACAATTTTCATTGCAGATTATATTGCTAAACAAATTGCATTAATAAGAAAGGTTTTTCCTTGACTTGCTTTTTTATCTAAAAATATAGAAAATTTGATTGTTGATACAAATTCATTTTTAGATTTATAAAGTACATGAAATACAACTTCATTATAAAGAGTAGTTATCTGAGAGTAAGATTTTTCAGCAAGTGATCTGTATTTAACATTGTTAGAGTAATATTGATGTTCAGCAATTACTTCTGAAGTCCATGTTTGAGGTTTTAAAAGGCCAAAATCTCTTATATATTGCCCAATTTTTATAAGCATTAAAGCTATTTGCTAAAGGGTTGCATTAGTAGCAAGATATTGATTGTTTTGAAATTGTTTTTCAAAGTCTTTAGAAAGTTTAGTATTATATTTTTGCCAGAGATTAATAGCAAGTGTACTGTTTAATATCAGTTGTACAAACAGAAAGCATAATTGTGCAAGAGTATAAAGTTATTAATAGCTTTCTTTATAGTGAGCATACTCTTATTTTCAACCACAACTAGATGCATATTATGTGCTGCCTCTTGATAAGTTAAAAAAGTATTTACATTTACTATTTTAAGTCATTCTATGATCTGATTGCATAATGCATTAAAATGCATCTTAAATAATAGAGTTTGCCAGCATTTGGAGTGATCAAAACTACTTTAATAACTTTACTTATAGATTATTTTTGTACAATTTTTTTAGTATATTATTTTGTTCTTATTCAAGAAAGACATTTTTATTCATATATTGATTTAAAGGATATTGTATATACTGTTCATAATATTTAGTATACTTAAAGTTATTGAATAAAGATTCAATTGGTCTAAAAAAGTATCGATTCAAAAGCAAAACAGAAGATAAAAGGTTATATAATTATAAATACTAAGAGATGTTTGAATTTGAAAGATGAATCAGAAGTGCTTGTACAGGTGGATTTGTTAAGGTCATATGATAATAGGAAATCCTTCATGCAGCTTCAGATGCTGACAAATACCTTCCATTATATAGTTTTTAAACTCATTTACAGACTGTCATTGTGCCAGTAGATAATTTCTATCTGCTGTTAGAAAAGATTGTAAGTTGTTGCAGAAGTCTGTAAATTAGGTTGGTTTACATTATTATTTGAATTGCTTATAGTAAATTTAGTACAGTTAGGACCTTTGAAAATATATTTATATAAATACATAAATAAGTGAACAGTGGATGCAATTTCAAAATTTATATGACAATTCAATTTCATAATAAGTAAGAGATTATATGATGCTATTCATAAATTATTTAATATTTAATGATGATATTGTACAAAACCTCTTTTGTTAATATAAGTTTTAGGAACAATAGGTTTTGGATATCGATAAATATAATTACTATTTTTAAGACATCAAAAAGAATGTTGCTGCCTATATAATATATATTTTTTAACCAATTCTTCTAAATGAGCATTTTCACAAGACAGCTTAGCTAACATAATTTTATCTATTTGATCAGCTAGAAGTTTAGGATGTACTTACATTATAATATAAATATGAGGAAGTTCTTACTTTTGAAATTCTATTAAATTAATAATGTAAGCAATTTCTTTAAAGTAACTATGCAAAATATTATTTAATTTTTCAAGATAGGAATAAAATGCTTGTACTACAATTAATATTAGTTCTAATGCATTCTGGCCAGGACATAACTGTGATCAAATTTCTTTCTAATTAGGATTAGTAGTCATTGTTATAAAGAAGCTAGGATTTCCTTAACAATGTGCAAGAGCAAAGGCATTTGTAACACAAGTTGAACACTATTTTTTGGATCTTAACAATGAAGCAAAAAGATATAGGCTACTTTCATTATCATCATCATGTTCATAATTTTTAATAGTAATATTATTTCTTTGTTGAACTAATTTCTCTTTGTTAAAATGTTTTTTTTCATTTAAAATATAGTTTAATCATTTTTCTTCTATATATGAATACATATCTACCAAGTATTTAGAAGTTAATCTGCCAAAAGTTAATAATCACTGTTCATGCAACAGATAGCAATAATACTAATTGATTTGTGAAAAGTTATAAGAATTATTAGGATATCATTCTGAAGTTCTATAGAAAAAAAGTAAGAGATATTAAAAAGATTCATATTGTGCATTAAGAATATTTACATATTTAGGTGCAATGTCTATATTATGCCAAATGAGAATACTATGTGGTTGTATATTTATAACATTATCTGCATATATGATAGCAGTGACTTCACCATTAGACATATTTTTGCATAGTTCAAATGATGCATTAGCTGAAGAATTATTTCATAGTGTTCATAATAAACATATGTAAAGATTAACTTTTATTAATATTTGTAGAACAATTGATACTTATTCACTCAGAACTTTATAATTATGAGCTGAAATATATCATTCTTATTTATTGTAAAGATACCAATTTATTGAATAGTTAGAGGCATTTCCTAGTAAAATTTGATGATAAGTATATTCAATAATGCAAACTGAAGATGAAACTAGCAAATTTAGAAATTGATCTTGTACACCAATTGCTGTAAATAAAAAAGCATATTAAGCTTTTGTGAAAGCATACTAATATTACAATTATTAATATATTATTAATCTTTATAGGATAAGGTAGTAATGAAGAAAGAATATGTTTTTTACAGTTACAACAAAACTATAGCATTTTACTTGTAAGAAGAGTTGTCAAACAGATATCACATCTTCGAATCTACAAAAAAGTTAATAGCATTATAGTGGTTTTATTCAATAAATCTAACTTGTTTCACTATAGTGTAATTTTAGATTTTTTATGTTCTTGATATTTATTTTTAAGTTCAGCTTTTTTTATGCATAATATTAACATTTATATTTTTTTGCCTTTGGTGTATATGTTTTTGCTTGATACTAATATTTGTACTCTGTGTTTTGATGCTGTTGTTTTAAATGATTTCATATAAGATTTGAATATAGTATAAATATAGTATATATACAATTGATAAAAGAATCAAATATTTTATTTTTTTTTGCTATTAATATACATTTTACATGTACTAAAGATCAAGCAGATCTAAAGATTAAGTGGATCTAATTTTATGTTTATGCTTTTTTTTTTATATTATAAATTACTATATATTTATTTTTTTACAATTAATTATAGTAACCAATTTATAAATAAACATATAAATAAATAATATTAAATAATAAAAGTTAAATATAATAGTATAGTATTTTATCTGACAAATTCTCATAATTATAAAAATATTTTTTAATATTTTTTTTATATGTTATTATATAATCATTTAGTATCTGCTTAAACTACTCAAATTAAAATTTGGCAAATAACTCACTATGAATCATAATTATAAATTACTGGATAATACTAATACTTAAAGTATCAAATCAATAATAATGTTTATTTCATTTTTTGTTAACTAAACTTTATTAAGAATATCATTATACAGATACAGATATGATATTAATGATTAATTCATTTATATACTATATTAGTAATATATGTTAGTATATAAAATATCAATTATATCAGTATTACAGAAACTAAAATAGCAGAAGATAATGCTATTACCAAATTTAATAACTTAAAACACTACTCTTATTACTGGTCATATACTAATAGTTCCAAAACAAGAACTGCACTTATGATTCATAAACACCTCACACCTCATATACACAATATTTTTACTCTTTCTGGCTATGCTATAGTTATAGACCTCTTCTTTAAACATGATTACAAATTCTGAATTATCTCTATATATCTACTATGTAAAAACTCATAATTAAGACTTCAAATTTAAAATACTATTATTCAATGGATCCAAGAAGCTACAAACTGAAACATCCTATACATAATATTAGGTAATTTTAATGTACTACCTAACAACTCTATCTCCTCATCTATCAAATACACACTACTGCAATTTTTACAATATAAAAATATTTATGATCTAGCAGATTATACAAATACCTTCTCTCATACTTGGCATAGCAGTAGACATTAAACAGTACTATTGACTATATTTGGGCATACCTTCTTTTACTCAAATACCTTAATTCTTTTTACTTGGATGATGCAGAAAACTGCACCCAAAGTAATTACAAAATCCTTATATCCTCTTGGACATTTCCTTATGCACTTATAGGCAAAAACAGACATTCAACTAGAACCAAATACAGAACTTTTAACTACAAAGCAATAAATAAAGAGCAATGAAAAATCTTTACTAACCAAGTTTCTCTTAATCTCATTACAACAAAACACCTCTTTTTACTCAAACCTCTGAATCTCTTGAAACTACCTGGCATAAAATCCAAACTAGTATTATTAA